CTCGTGGCTCGGTTGGAGGCAGAAGCCGCTGAGCATGCCACGACCAAAGAGCATCTCTCACAAGCCGACTCCGATGCTGCGGAAAGGAGGATGGAGGTGGAGCGGCTGCAAGAGGAGAGTCGCAGCTACCAGGAAGAGCACGGCACATGCCAGCAGCGATGTGCGGAGCTCGTGGCTCGGATGGAGGCAGAAGCAGCTGAGCATGCCACGACCAAAGAGCATCTCTCACAAGCCGAAGCTGATGCTGCCGAAAAGAGGGTGGAGGTGCAGCGGCTGCAAGAGGAGGGTCGCGGCTACCAGGAGCGCTGCCAGCAGGCTGTAGCCGAGAGCAAGATGGAGCTGCAGCTCGAGAATGCAAGGCTCCAGGAGAGGTGCGAGCAGTTCCAGCAGCAGCTTGCCAAAGCAGAGGGCCAGATTCAAGTCTTGTGGGAAGAGAAGGCCACTTACAAGGAGCGTTGCCGGCAGCTGGGGCGTGAGGCGACGTCGCTACGCACCCCTTCCATCCAAGCCAGCCTCACCCGGCAGGGCCCAACTCCCGGGGACGACGCAGCTTCCCCCCGCGGCCAGGAGTCGAATCTGACCGAAGAGCTTGGGTACGTTCTGGTGGAAGATGGCGTGGCCTCCTCCTCCGCCTTGAGTTGCTCCTCTTGGTTCTCGGTGAAGCCCGACTGCTTCATGCCGGACGCCATCTTCAAGACCCGCAGCTCCGGCGTCGACTTCTTCCTGATGGGCCGGGACCTCCGAAAAGGGTCGCAAGTGGTGGCCGGGGACGACGAGACCATTTTGGAGGTCTGCGAGGCCCCTCTTTTGTGCCAAGCCAAGAAGGTCGTCCGCTTGCAGGCGGGGGCTGCGATGCTGGAGGTCACGGCAGACCACCCGGTCCAGGTCCCAGCAGCGGAGGGTGCGATGAAAGGTGGAGCGGGCGGAGGCAGCTGCCACTACGTCCCAGCGGGAAGCCTGAAGCCGGGTGCGTTGGTCATGCTCGATTCCGGGGAGCCCGCGGCCCTCACGGGCGTAGCATCAGAAAGCGGAGACCATGAGGTGCTGAAGCTCGCATTCAAGCCGAACCGGTCTGTCGCAGTCTTCTCATGCCCTCCCTGCATCCTCAGCAAGGGCGCCAACAGCAAGCCGGCGATCCGCCGCGCTAAGATGGGGCAGCGCCGAGGTCAGGGATCGACGGCGGCGGCGGATGCAGATGACAGCAGAGCCTCCATGCCGAACACGGCCGGAACATCGACTGAGATTCTGCTCAGGGGGGCAGCATGATGAAGAAGACACCGATGCAGTCCTGAGCCATCCTGAGCCAGCCAATTCGCGATTCTCCGGTAGTGTTGTCAAGGCGTTCAGAGCACGGGGCCCCTTAATCGCCAGTGCCTTTCGCTGCTTGAGTTGTCGCCGGAGTCGCCGGAGTGCAGCGCACGCCGTCCCAGGTTCACGAGCATCTAGCTTCTTCCATCTTCCGTTTCTCGAGCTTCGGGTCGTGGTTCACTGTGATGCTCTAGAGCATTATTCAGCTGGAACAGTCATACCTATATGTGGGTGCTAGCAGTACAGCAGCAGGGTGACGGGCAGTGCCGGCACGAAGGCTTTGCATGCATCTTCCAGCGGTGTGTGGCTCGCAGTTTTGCTTGTCCTGTGCAGAAGGTCGCAGGTAGACTCGCAGACCTCGAGCGATTCGCTAGTTGACGAGGCAGAATGCAACGCCCACCCTGCTGCTTCAGAGTTCACCGGAAGCATCGGAAGCCCCAATTCTTAGCACCTCTACCTCTCCCGAGGCGCGAAGCTCCAAGCCCCTGCCAAGCCGCTCCACCCCAACGAACTCTACGCCCTTACACACTGCCGAGGACATCGCCGAAGGCCCCCTCGCTGCCCTTCTACTACCGGCTGCTGGGACCTTCCTGGGTAAACGAGGAGCCCGAGGACAGCTCCTTCAACCTTGGCGGGGTTCTAGACGTTAATTAGGTCTCACTTTAGGGGTGTCTCGAGTGAGATCGGTGTCCTATCCCACCATGACAGCGTGACGCCTCCGCCGATGAAGAAGATTGAGGAAGTCTCAGGATTCTCCTGAGTGCAGGATCCCATCGCATAGCGGACGTGCAGGCTTTGAGGGGGGGCGTGGAACGAAGCTCCACCCAGGCCAGCGAGCTTGCCCCAGGCCAAAGAGCTCATAGGAAGCTCCTTCCGAGTGCTCGGCTGACAAAGTCGGAGCAACGGTAGGCTTTTAGTCTTTTAGCGTGTAGGGTTTAGGGTCCTACAAAGTTGACAGGAAGAGCCCAAGAAGAGGCTTTCTTGTTCAAGCGGCAAGCAACAAAGGATTGTCAAAGATCTGCGGAGGCTGTTGCTACTTGTAGCCTTCTCTGGTCAATATGCCCTAAACCCTAAACGCTAAACCCTAAACCGGCTTACCATCATGCTCTGCCCTGAAATTCATCCGCATGATTCGGCTCGAGGCACGGATAGTGGAACTGAAATATCTTTCCCGATAGCTAATTCATGTTTTGTGACGCCTCCAAAACCTTGTGGAGATAACCAGGCAGGGAGCTCCGTATTCTGTGGGGGGGCGGGGGAAGGGGGGCTTGGCTTCTTCGATCTTGCTCTTGGGTTTGGAGGGCGTAGTATAAGTATTATTTCTTGTGTCATTGTATCAATTATATCATGATGATTATGATTATTTCAATCTTACTATAATTTTATTCTTATTAATTATAAGCTTGGGTTTGTTGCAGGGTGTGGCAAGCAAGCCTCGTGCCAGGCGTTGTCACTCCTCTTCGACAAAGGATGCCCGACACACGAAGCTGCATGGATGCCGCGAGGGTGCGCCCTACCGGACTTTTCTAGAGAGATACGACAAGGACTGGCATTATTGCATGTACATGTGGTCTGCATATAGGCAGGGGACGGTCAAGCAAGAAGCAGTGAGACGGCCACACAGACAAGCAGACAAATTCACATCACGCACATGCATGTGTTTGTGTGCAACATGCATGCGCACACACACACACACTTTGCAGAACGAGTTGTTATTGAAGCACCAACTTGCAGTAGGATAGAGTGCTTTGCAGTTGACGACCAGCCGTTCAGTGCCCTGATGGCGGCAGGTACTCCCAGCTGGTGCCCCAGAATTTCCCGGTGTGGGCTCAACCTTGAATGTTCCGCTGTTTCGCCCTGAAGTCTTTGCATCTCTTCGCTCTAGAGTGCTCGGCAGAGGAACCGCCCAGCAACAGTTGCAAACAAGTATTTTACCCTGCATATCGTTTCATCTTACCAAACTCTTGCATCCAAAATCCTCAAGCCGTGATCCGTAGATCTGAACCTTTGCTGTTCATTATTTGAGTCTGGAAGTGCTTTGGCAGGGGCAGCTTTGCAATTGGAGTCGATCTTCTACTTGTAGCATTGTAGCAGCTTTGGAGGTCTTCCAGTGTTTCTGTCGGTGCTCCGATGTTTTGGTCATGCCCGCTGGTGCTGTGTGTTCTTTCTATGGCTCGCTTCTCGTCACGCGTCTGCCCTCAGCCGGCGCACCGCTATGCGACTCAGGTCGTCTTCGTGGTGGTGAACATAGTCAGCTTGTACCTCATTTACAGCTACTTCCACCTTGTTCCTATGCTCCAGAGCTCGGATGAAAACAGGCCGGCTGTGACATCCATCCCCTAAACCCTAAAACCCTAAACCCTGAACTCATGGTTTGGTTACCTGAACGACGGCCATCCTGACGTCCAGCCCTTTCCAAAGGCTTGTCACGCCTTTTCATCGGGTCTGTGTTGAGATCACGCGCCGGACTATGCTGCATCGCGGAGGGCTTTGTCGGGAGTTGGCAAGATATTCTGGCCATGGCCATCTGACCCTAACTAAAGCTTAAAAAGTCCGGGCTCTGAAGCTTCACTCGCGTGGAGCTACACTTTGCGGACGATGCAGAGGTCCCCAAGAAACCCTTAGTCTCGCAACCCATCGTGTCGCAGATATCACACGGGCATCATCCAGACCGCCGTCTTCAACGGTGCTCGGAAGCTCAGTCGCCTCCGAGCCTAGGGAAAGTCCGGGAGTTAGGCGCAGGCGTCGGGATCAAACGAACTTCTGAGATCTGGTTATTTTTGTTGAGAAACTTGCTGCTTTAGAGTGTGGAGTTGAGGTTCTCGGTCTCAAGGGGCTTTGACGATTCGGGGTCCCTAGGACTTCAAGGTCTGCCTGCTTGTGGCTTTCCGTGCTCATCTTGCCTTTTGGAGTCGCCAGCTGAAGGCCGAAGAACAACGATCTAAGGGCTTTAGGAGGGACCCTTCATAGGGACCCTTGTAGGTTATTGGGGTTAATATGGAGACGACCTGGCTCTATAAGGGGTTTCTAAGGACTATACAACGGACGACTTATCCCCAGCCGTCCGAGTCCATCCTCAGAGCCTCTCCACCCATCGGCTGGGATTGAATGACGTGGGCCAAGACTGGGTTCTTGTTAAGGGACTTAATTAAAGTTACCATAATAGGGATCTATAGTAAATAATAGGGTTTCCTTGATATGGTAACTTAAATTAAGTCCCTTAACAAGAACCCAGATTATGACGAAGTGTACTTTATGCCCCAACAGAACTTGGAGGTTCCTGGGTAGTTAAAGGTATGGTTGTAAGTTCCCTGATATGGGTTATACTTATAGCTACCCTACTTATAACCTTATTTATTACTACCCATGAACCTCCAAGTATGCCCCAACAGAACCCTCATAGAAATTCGACTCGAACCCTTTAAAGGCTATGCGAGTCATTAAAGGTTCATAGTACTCGCTGTGGCTTGGGCCACCCTAAACCCTAAACCCTAAACCCTAAACCCTAAACCCTAAACCCTATTTGGGAATCCTCCAGGTCGTCGCCCAGCTTTTCCCTCACCATGGGTGAGTGCTTGAGAACGTGGCGGTAGTGCACCCAAATCTCCGTGCGCGAAGGCACCTCTTTAGGGTTTAGGGTTTAGGGTTTAGGGTTTAGGGTTTAGGGTTTGGGGGTTTAGGGTTTAGGGTTTAGGAATGCATTCAGGGTTTAGGGCTATTAGGGTTCAAGAGTCAAGGTTTGGTTCTACGGAATCTGGGCTCGCTTTCATACTGGAAGTTCTTTACGTTAGGGTCCATTTTTAATGCAAAATATAGTACGGCACCCTTACAAAAGGACCCCCAAAGGGAGCATAGTTTAGAGGACTACACATGTTGATTCAGCTGATTTGAAGCTCTTCCTCACGGTTCCGTTCTGTTCCCGCAAGTTCCTCGTCTGTCAAAGACCTTCACTGACCCTAAACCCAAAGCGCTCCGCCGAAGCCCTTTCAGGGTTTAGGGTTTAAGGTTTAGGGTTGGAGGGGTCCTAAGCTCCTAAACTCCTGAACCCTGAACCCCCCAAATTTTGCGAAGCCCTAAGCCTCAAAAACAAGAAAAAAGACGTAGTTGGAGGCTCATGGGTAGTTAGAGTTATAAGTCCCCGAATTTGGGATCACCCGCCAAGTAATGCAGGAGCCTTAATAGTTAGAACAGGGTTTTGGGGCCCATTATACTAAACGTATAATAAGGAACCCCCAGAATAATAATAGTAATTATTTAGGCCCCTACTTGGAGGTTCATGGCTAGTTATAAGTATGGTTATAAGTCCCCTAACTTGGGTTATAATTATAGCTACCTTACTTATAACCATACTTATAACTACC